GTACCTGCCGGTCGGTGCTTTAAAGGGACTAACAAGCAACCTGCCCGTGGCCACACGGAACTCCGAGCCCACCCTGGCTCAAGTTTCAGGGTCTCGCCGTTAGCACACGAGCAAACCGCCACTGCAGCTCTGGTCCCGGTCAGCACAGACAGAAGGAAGGAGAAACTAGGAAGCAAGGAGGGTGTTGCTGGTCCTGAGGGGACCCTCAGCCACACTCTGACCTGCAGGGTGACCTTAAGCAAGTCACCCCTTCTCCAAGGCCTTGTTTCCCTACTCATCTGAAGGAGGCTCCAATCAAGAGCATATCCAGTGGTCAAGAACACCCACGCGACGAGGACAAGGCTGCGATACCGTCTCCAAGACAGCCCAGCGGGCTGGCCTGCTGCTTCCCGTTTCTATGCCGCCAGGTGGCGAGGCGGTCCAGGGCAGACTCCTGGTCAACCTTGGACAACCTTGGGCACGTTCCTCTAGCTCTCGGCGTCTCAGTCTCCTCGTCTGTGAAATCGGGTAATAACGGTACCCATCACACAGAGTCGGTGTGAAAATTAACGGGAGCAGCTTGAACTAGAAACGGCACAATGTAAACAGTCGGTAAGTGGTGGCTACGACGGCCAGAGTCCTGCCTGTCCCCCGCACCACGCCAGGCGGCAATCCGTGCTGTGCCTTCTTCTGATGTTGAGTTGGGAGTTGAGCGTTTAAGAGAAAAGGAACAGAGACCAAACACGATGGCCATTTGAAAAAACACTTCCTGGGACAAAATAAAACCCAGCTCCCCTGAGGCTGACTTAGGAGCACAAGCCTCTCCCAGGCAGGGGTGTGAAGGCAGGCAACCCGCTGGCAGGCATCTCCAGCACAGGGACCCCGGGGAGGCCTTTGCTAGGAGACCAGCACCCAGAACGGAAATGACAGGTGAGCCCTTAGGAAATCAGCCGAGCAACAGAGGAAATAAAAGTCAGTTTTTCCTCCGGTTACTGTACCAGCGTTATAAAGAGAGGGATTTTAAAAAAATGACAAATAAGAAGCACCTTCTCTTTCCCGCTTAAGACACGCGTTGGGGAAGTCCCTGTGTGTGCAGGGCTCAGGCCTCCGGGGCTGGCGTGCTCCGCGCTGGGGCGGCCGCGGCTGAGGAAGACCTCGGCCGAGACGAGGCTGCGCATTTCACAGGCATCAAAGGTTTGATCGGCAAGATGACGGTGACATGAAACATGGCATCACCTACAGCTCCAACCGCAGAAGAAGGGCATGAAAGCAGCCTGCGCAGAAGGTAGGAGGGAGTTCCTGTTTTCAAAATGGGTTTTGCAGCCTCCTGCTGCCGCAGCACTGGCGCCGGAGGGCCAGCAGAGGGCAGCACTGGCCCGCGAGCACAGCTCCTCTTCCGCCCTGGGAACCAGGCGGAGGGCAGTTTAAGCTGCAACCACAGGCGCGGTTCCCTGCGCGGGCTCACGTGGAGCTGCGATCCACCTTCCACCGCGCAGGAGACGGGCCTGCCAGGTCTTTGTTTCTGAAAACTGATGGCTCCAGGGAACGCTGTCGTCGTCCGCACGGGTGACCTGCCACAGCCGGGGAGTCCCTGCGCTACAGCGCCAAGGGGCTTAGAGCTCAAGGAGGCCGAGCAACTCAACCCTGCGATGAAGGAAAGTCTGTCCTGGCAAGTTACCGCCCCCTGTGATTTCTCAGTTAATGATTACAGCGCCCGCCGCGGAGGGACTTAAAGGCCACGTTATCAGCGCACGGGCTGGCCATGCCGATATGTGACCCAGAACAAACTGTGCTCACAGGTGTGACCTTTCAGCCCAGTGCGACCCAGCGTGTGCTGCCGCGGCGACGCTCACACACGTCAGGGCTCCACCAGAGCAGGGACGTACCTTGTTGGGAAGAGTCTGGAGAGTCGAGGCTGAAATTCGGCAGGATCTTGAGCAGGAAGAGAAAAGCCATGGTTAGAGTCCATCGTGCCTTACGACAGAAAAATACATCTATCATGGTCTAGCTGAGACGTACCAACGGGAAGGGAGACCTATCAGGGTAAACGTAACATTCAAGTCACGATTCTGGGATACTTAAAGACTGTTATAAAACAACAGCTCATTTCCAAGACTGCCTGACCCCGAGGACGAGGAGAGGGCCTGGGGGTCGGAGAGGGCGCCGTCTCCTGGGGGCTTTGCAGCATTTGGACAAGTACTCGGAGCGGGTCACTCAGGCTGCTGCGAAGGGTTCGGTCCAGAAAACAGCGAGCTCGTGGTCATGTTTCTCCACTGGGAGGGTGTGAGTTTGAGGAGCGCACGTTCAGCTTCCCGTGAACACCCCTGCCTCGCCCTGGAGCCGAGCCTCCTGCCGTCCAAGCGCAGGACGAGGCCTGTACCGGACCCGTCTCCGGGGCGGAGCGTGGCAGCCAGTGGGCCCGCTGCCCTGGGGAGCCTCTGCTTTGGAGGCGTCCAGGCCAACCCTCAGCAGGACAGCCCGTCACAGAGCAGCGCCCCTTCCCCCGAAGGAGGCTCAGGCGCCCACCAGCCTCCTCCAGAGCCGCCAAGGCCGCGGAAGCTGCCCGTCAACCGCTGCTGGGGATCAAACCTACCGATCACAGCTCCCCCTTCCCTTCGCCTTTCCCCCGAGCGCCCGCGTGTCTGGGCTCCTGTGCTTACTGGGTGCTGCCTTGTTAACGCCAAGGGCTACGCAGTGACCTACTGTCAGTGGCACATGCAGACGGAACAGAGACAGCAGCACGGATACGCGTTGGGATCAGAGAGACCTGGATCCCAAGGTTCCCCGTCACTTGTCACGCAGCCTCGCAGTTTCCTCGTTGACCACATGGGAATAAGGATCCTCAGGCTGGGACACTGCACTGAACTCCCTCACAACACTCGGTGCAGAGGTGACTGCAGTCACTGTCGGCCCCGCCCACCTCCCCCTCTCGGGACAGCGCAGCTGGCATCCGGGACGAAGTGTTGAGAGCATGTACAACCAAGATGTTAAAGTTGGTGTGAGAGACGAATGCTGGGCGTCGGTGCCCAGAGGCTGGGTCTGGGCTGCTCTGGAGGGCGCGCGTGGCACATAAGCCACAGGCGTTCCAACACAGAGACAAGCGCCTGCAGAGGGACAAATGGGCTCTGAAATGGGTGAGGAGGTCCCAACCGTGTCCCTCTGCTTCCCCACCCCTGATGCAGAGTTCACGACGCGGCGCCGATGGACAGGGCTCGGAGGGCACAGAGCAAGCCAGGTGGGAGTGACACACACCCAGAGCGGAACCAGGCTCCGCGGGAAGACAGCACGCAGCCCGGCCTCGTGCGTCCGCACAGCCACGTCTCCACGCTACTGACGACGCCGCCCTCTCAACGAGTCGGCTCACACTCACACTCACACATTCACCGACTGCCCCTGGAGCCAGCGCTGAGCTGGGAGCTGCGGGAAACGCGTGCGTAGAGGGCGTGGACACACCTGCGTGTGGCCGTACAATCTAACGGTGGGGTGGCGTCTAGTACACAGGAGCAAGTCACCCGCTGTGGGTGGAGGGCCTCACTCTGACTGAATGATGACGGCCATTCATGGCCAGGTGAGCGTGGGGCAGGCTGACTAGGTGGTGGCGGCGGGGGGAGCTTTGCAGAGGATGGGGCCTGAGCTGGGCTCCACAGGGGTGGCCTGGGCAGGTGGCCAAAGGGGAGGAGGGCAGGGAGGGGACAGTGACATCGTGTGGAATGTAGCAGGCAGGTGCAGCTCAGTAAGAATGGGGGGAAAGCCACTGAATTTGGCAAATGGGACTTTTGGGAGGTTGAGTAACAAGACTGCAGAAGGAGTGTGTATGTGTAACAGAGCTCACGTACGTATACCCCGCCACACACACACACACACACACACACACACACACACACACGGAAAGCTGAGACCAGGACGGCAGGAGATGAGAAACATCTGCTAAGACCTCGTACGTGGGAAGCCATGTGCTGGGGTCACTAAGGTGAGCAAGACAGGGCACCAGTCCACACGGAGCGGGCAGGGCAGCGGGGGAAAGACAAGTAAACAGACGTTATTATGACAACGGGGCAGACCCTAGGAGGGGAAACTCTAGAGGCCACGGGGCCCACCTGTGAGGCACCTCTGGGATCAGGAATATCTTTCCCAAGGGCCTCCTCCCTGCCACCCACAGCGGGTGGGCAAGTAGACCAATGGGGGTGGGCAAGGGCCTCCTTCCTCCACCCACAGCGGGTGGGCAAGTAGACCAATGGGGGTGGGCAAGGGCTCCTCCCCACCACCCACAGCAGGTGGGCAAGTAGACCAGTCGGGGTGGGCAAGGGCTGCTCCCTCCACCCACAGCGGGTGGGCAAGTAGACCAGTCGGGGTGGGCAAGGGCCTCCTCCCCACCACCCACAGCGGGTGGGCAAGTAGACCAGTCGGGGTGGGCAAGGGCTGCTCCCTCCACCCACAGCGGGTGGGCAAGTAGACCAAGCGGGGTGGGCAAGGGCTGCTCCCTCCACCCACAGCGGGTGGGCAAGCAGACCAAGCGGGGTGGGCAGTTCCTTCTGGTCCCGAGGGGCTGGGAGCCCTTTCTCAGGTGCCTTGGGGACTAGTGTGCACAGGTGCCCATTGGACTGGGACGGAGAGAAGTGCCCAACAAGAGCCCCTTCCCAGACCCCAACGCCTCTGAGGCCACAGGGGCTGGCAGGTCCCCGGGGACTGACACGCGCTCACTGGCGGGGAGATGGGCACGACTGTCACGTGCACTGCACGGCACGAAGACGCTCCCACGCGACGGCGAGT